AAGATATAGATTACACATGAATTAGGTATAAATTATTAAATGTCTTAGGTTTATCTGATGTCATTTTTTCCCAACACTGTTTTGTGTGGGATTGGAACACAAAACAGCTAAGCTTCAAGAGAGGATCATTTCAAGAAGAAAGTGTGCATCATGGGGCAGTTACCCGAGAGGACAGGCTCAGACTGGGTGTCTCAGCAGGGAAACCTGATTGGGTGATCAGAGGTCAACATAAGGGCATTGGGTACATGTGGCAGGCAGTAGGGTGAGGTGACTGAGATGCCTAGGGTGGGGCTAGATGGGATTGACTCTCAGGGTCATGTATGAATGAATGTTTCCTTAAATTGTGTACCCTAGACACCGTACTCACATCGCTCTAGTCCTGGCTTTCATAGACAGCTTCTGAAATGGCTACCAATGATCTCTACCTCTATTCTTTGCATAATCCCCTGCCCTTGTGTGGGCCGGACCTAGTGACTTGTTTCTAATGAGTAAGATGGCAAAAGTGATAGAATGTTGCTTCCAAGATTAGGTTATAAAAGACATGCCTTCCGTCTTGCTTACACTCTCCCTCTTGCTCTCTTTTGTTTGCTAACTCTGAGGAGGCAAGCCACCATTTATGAGCTTCCCTATAGAGATGCCTATATGACAGGAAATGGAGGCTGACTTCTAGCCAACAGCCAGCAAGGAATTGACACCTCAGTCCAACACCTCCAAGGAACTGAGTTCTTCCAACAACCACATGAATGAACTTGGAAGTGGATCCTTCCACAGTCAAATTTTCAGATGAGACCACAACCTCAGCCTGCACCTTGATTGCAGCCCAATGAAAGACCCTGAACCGCAAGATCCAGCTAATGCATGCCCAGATTCCTGACCACAGAAACCGTGACATAACAATAGTTGCTGTTTTAAATCACTAAGTTTTGGAGTAATTTTTAATGCAGCAATAGATAACTAATACAGTGCATAAAGACTTTGGTGGTGGTAGTGGGAGGGAGGGGGAAGATGTTAGTTGCCGAACCTGAAGAACGATGTAAACAAGGAAAGGTAAGAAGTTACTGAGGAAACACTAAATCCAATTGGCTTTCAATTGGTAGTTCAAACTCCCCAGCAGCTCAATAGGAGGAAGACTGGCAATCTGCTCCCATAAAGATGATAGCCTAGAAAACCCTATGGGGCAGTTTACCTTTGCAACATGGGGTCTTTATGAGTTGAAAGTTGATTCAACAACACCTAACAAACAACAACATTGTCTGTACCTGAGGTGGACAGCTGCCACCTCTTGCCGTTAATCACTACTACTCCACATCAGTAGCTATGGCTTCTTGGGGCTCTAGAATATCACAAAATCAGAGGCCAGAGTGACTTGCAGAATCTTTGGAAACTCTACTATTATTCAACAAACATGACTAATTGCCTATCATGGGCCAGGTGCTCTTCTGGGTAATAGGAATTTCAGGTGAAATGGTTGCTCGTCTTGAGGAGTTTAAGTTCCGATGGTGTGTATTGCCATTGTGAGAGCAGGCAATACAGCCTCCAACAGGTCTAAGTGGTAGACTTTCCTAAAAGTTACAGGTTGTTCTTGGTTCACCTTTGATCATCTTTTGTAGTATCCTTGGGAGATCACTACAGTTATTATATCTCTAAGCTCTAGAATGTGTGTTCGGTTTCTTTTAGAATTTCTATCTCTTTGCTTAATATTCTTATTTTGTTCCTACATTGTTTTCTTGATTTCCTTTAATTCTTTGTCTGTATTTTCTTCTAGTTCTTTGAGCATATTTAGAACAATTGTTTTAAAGTTTGTAGCTAGAAGGTCCAACGTCTGGTCTTCTTCAAGGTTGGTCTCTGTTGTCTTCTTTTGTTCCCTTGAAAGGGCCATCCTTCCCTGTTTCTCTGTATGTCTCCGCGATCATCTTTCTTACGGCACCATAACCAATGACATTCCTCGTAAGCTTTGGGTGTGAAGCTGAAGAAAGGGTCATTATCTTCTCAGAAGAGAGAAGTGAGCCAGGAAGTGGGACTTTCTGCATCAACCTGGATCTTTTTGTCCTTCTCGTGAGACTGTGACATTCACCTCCCAATCAGCCCTTAAAAACCTCCATCTGGAACCAGGTGCTTCCAAGATTTTTGATGCAGAGATACAGCTCAGAATCATAAGTGGCCTCCTTGAGATTCTGCATCACTAGCTAAGGCTTACACAGCAAATATCTGTGCCCCATCCAAAAAAACCTCTAGGGTAAAAGAGAATGCAGGAAGATTCGAAGCATAAAAGCCCTATGGTGGAAACAATGGGAAGGTTTGTACAGGCCAGGTTACCAGAGTGCTCCGTATAGCTCACCCCAGTTCCACTTGAATTTGTTTTTTCTTTTAAGCCTACCTAACAATTCCTAACTTAGAATTGGAAAGCTGCTTAGAATGCATAGATGAGTCATGGCCAGGATTTGCAGAGGCCAAGAAGCTACTTTATGATTAATTAAATGAACCCAGTGCTCAGCTGCTAACAGAAAGGCTGGCGGTTCAAATCCACCTAATGGCCCTACAGCAGAGAGACCTGGCAATCTGCTCCTGTGAAGATTACCACCTAGAAAACCCTGTGGGGCAGTTCTGCTCTGTCACATGGGGTCACTATGAGTGGAAATCGACTTGATGGCACCTAATGACAACAGCAGTGAGGTCAGCATCAGCTTTTGCAAGTTTTCCTCTCAGACTAGAGGACCAGCCATGCTCATTGTCCTTCCCCCCAAGAGTCAGATTGGATCTCAGAACCAGTATTGGGGGTTTTCAGAATCTCATGACAATTTTCGTATCTCTTATCTCAATGATTGCAGATAAAAAAAATCATAATAATAATATTTTTATTTCTGGCAATATTGCAGCTTCTTCCTTTCAAGTCAATGTTAGCACATCCTTTCCCAGCAAATTTATATTTCATCTCAACTGACTCCTTTCAGAGGAATGATAAAGCCTTGGCTGAATTGAACAAGGGAGGCGGTGGTACATTTAAAAAAGAAGATGAAAAAGAGGCATTTTTTTTTATTTTGACTTTATGTGAGCACTGCTAACTAATTTTTAACACACAAAAAATCACTAGTGTGAAAATAACTATTAAATATATCTAGTTTTAATAATATACTACTTATATGACGATTTGACTCACTATCACCTCCTTTTTTGCTTATTTATATAGTTTCGTGTGCTTTGTTTAAAACCATTTAGGCCACAGGAAGGTAGACTTGAGATTGATTCTTTGGGGCTATTTCTTTGTTCTGGTGAGAGTGTTTCTTTGACTGCCAGGGGAATGTGTGTGTGTGATTTCTCTTACCCCTGTTAAGGTCAATTACAGCCGTGCAGAATCGACCCAGCTGTGGCAGGCTGATGAGTCAAAGTTTCAAGAAGACACAAAGTGATCAAGTCAGGCGAGAAGCAGAAGCTTTTGAGCCCAGTTGCATGCTCTTGCTTGATGAGGAAGAAGAGAGAAAGGAGGATATGGAAATGCGAAATCCAATCACTGCAGAGACATAAGGCTCCACAAGCCCTCTGTGCTCGGCCTGACTCCCTGCTGGTTTGCATATTTTCAAAGTTCATCATGTGCAGTGTGTGGCTTGTAAGGAATGGTCACCGAGTGTTAGAGTCCTGGAACCCTCTGGTCACTTGTCCCCTTTCATTGTTCTTGAGACTTCTCTGGGAGGTTCTAATTCAAAGGAAGATTTTACTTTGAAAGCTTTCAAAGTAATTTCATTCCTCAGACTGTTGGTGGAAAGGCATGCTTACTCTCAGCTCCATCGCTCTTAACCCTCACATCTTGTTATCCTGGTGAAGTCCATGTGAATGAGAGAGAGATTATTTTGAGGTCTGGAGTGTGCATTAGAAGTTTCTTGTATTTATTCTCATTCAACAAATATGCAGTAAGCACTCACTATATGCCAGGACTACACCCGTCTGTCAGTTTGTCATACTGTGGTGGCTTCAGTGATGTCACTAAGGTTGCTGTCACTCAGTGTGGTAGCTCACGGTATCACCCTCCTTCCAGGGACCTCCTCCTATACCAGACCATACAGAATCCTTAGTAATGTTTTTTTGTACTAATGTTACTTGTAAATCATAATTCCCGTATATCACTCCTCCTTTTCCTTTAATTACTATTTCATTCTCAAAAAGGTTACAGATATAGGGTCACAAATACTAATTACCACAATATTGTAGCTAAAATACCAGAAAATTTGACAAAATCAGCGACTATAAAAACACTAGCAGCAAAGCAAACAACAGCACTGCTTGTAGTATGTGCAGACGAAACCACGTGATTCAAAGTGTCACTGTGATCGGGTAATAATGACAGCTCTGACCGGGGTACATTAAAAGGTTCAAAACATCAATTAGCAAAGAGTTTTAGCCTTGTAGGTATATTGATATGTGTAAGCTGGGCTTACGAAAAACGTTTTTGTTGATATAACTAACTACAGGAATATTTTTATAGACAATCATTTTGGTGTCACCCCCTCTGACCATGTCACCCAGTGCAGTCCGCACCCCCCAGCCCCCTAGTGATGCCACTGGGTGGCTTACACATTGCTATGATGGTGGAAGCTGTGCCACCGATATTTCTTATACTGGCAAGGTCACCCATGGTGGACAGGTTTCAGCGGAGCTTCCAGGCTCAGACAGACGCCAGAGAAAGATCTGCTAATCTCCTTGCAAAAATTAGCCAATGAAAACCCTATAGATCATGGAATATTGTCTGAGACTTTGACTTACTTACTTTGGGCTTATCATCAGTAGGACTGATAACTAGAAAAGGACATCATGTTTGGTAGAGTAGAGGGTCAGTGAAGGGAGGGAAACCCTCAATGAGATGGATTGAAACAATGGCCACAACAATGGACTCAAACATACCGAGGATCATGAAGATGGCGCATGAGGTTGCCATGAGTCGAAGCTGACTGCATGGCAACTAACTATAACACACCAGGGTAACTTGGGCAAGCTGCCTGTTTCAGAGCTTAAGTAAACCATGGTTTCTGAGGGCAGCAGAGCCCTGCGCTTTGGGCCCTGGATCGAAGCACAGACACGGGTCGTACTGGCGGCCATTTCCTTGCCATGGCCGAAGACTTCCGGGGCAGGATGGCTCTTTGATGGGCTGCTTTAGCTGAGGCTCTCTTGGCTGAATCTCTCAGTAGAGCAGCACAAGCCAACACTTCCCGCTGAGTAATATAGCCTAGGAGGAAGAAAGGACAGAAACTTCAAAGTCAACAATTTTACACCACCAGTAAGCAAACAAAACTGCAAATATTCACATATGTGTATATACAATTTCTTCTATTCCTCCAGTGTTGAAAAGGATACCCAGTGTCCTTAGGATGCCTAGACTGTACGATCTTGAGGGCACTGTATTTTTCTTCTTTTGCATTTATCATTCAATAAGTTAATAAATACTTAATCACTGATTAACATGAAAAATCCTTCAGGAAGGGACTTGAGCCTTGAGGAAACTGCATGAATTTCTTATCTTTAATATCAAATCTCGACAGCAATGGGTTTGTTTTTGGGTTTAATATCAAAACTTTCTTCAAACTAGAAACACATTTACTAGATCTTCCTCAGTGCTGCTCAAAGGGTAGTCTGCAAACCACCTACCACAGAATTATCTGGCTGAGGTCAAGTGTGATTTTAAAATGCTTGTTAAAAATTCTGAGTCCTCTCCAAAGACCTGAATCAGAAACTCAGAAAGTTAAGCCTGGGAATCTACATTTTAATAAGGTACATTGGCAAATTTTATGAGTCCTAATGTTAAATCAAAGATAGGTCAGTGGTTCGAACTCACCATCGGCTCCGTGGGAGAAAAGACCTGGCAATGTGCTCCTAGATTACAATCTAGGAAACACTATGGGGCAGTTCTACTCTGTCCTGTAGGGTGGCTGTGAGTTGGAATTGACGCCACGGCATACAACCACAACAACGTGAAATAGGAGACTGTGGGTGGTGCAAATGGTTAACGTGCTCAGCTGCTAACTGAAAGATTGGCGGTGTGAGTCCTCCCAGAGGTACCTTGGAAGCAACACCTGGTGGTCTACTTGCAAAAAGTAATTCACTGAAAACCTTATGAAGCAGAGTTCTATTCTGACACACATGGGGTTGTCATGAGTCAGAATCAACTTCACAATAGCTGGTAAAATGTTGACCATCTCTGCTTCTGGGTTTGTTAACCTCTATGCAAATTTACTCTACAAACAAAGCTAACCTAACCCGCTGCCGTGGAGTCACTAGCAACCCTATAGGACGGAGTAGAACTGCCCCATAGGATTTCCAAGGAGTGGCCGGTGGATTTGAACTGCCGACCTTCTGGTTAGCAGCCAAGCTCTTAACCACTGAGCCACCAGGGCTCCATAAACAAAGCCACTAGATGATATTTCTGCAACATTTCAGACAGTCAGACCAAATCCTGACTCCTCCATTTACTAGCTGTGTGAACCTGGTCAAGCTAGCTAACTTGTCCATGTGGCGGTTTTCTCTTCCATAAAATGTGAGTTAGAAAAACACCTACCATGTAGAAGTGTTAGAGGAGGTGTTAGAGTTTTAAACAAGACAATGCATGCATAGTGCTTAGAACAGTGCCTGGCACATATGAAGCCCTCAGTTTTTATGAAACTGTCTACAAAAATAGTCTTCCTTTTGTGTAAACACAGAAACGACAATATAAGATAGCGTGTGCTCATGCCAAACAATTGGTTTAAAAAAACGAGCTCTTTTGGTGTTTAGAAAAGAGCATAACAGAGGGGGGCTGGAGACTGAAAACATTTCCTGAAAGAGAACGGACTTAACAATTACGCCTTTGAGTAGTTTGGTGTTTATAGCCTATGAAGTTCTCTTGCAATCATTATTTTACCTGTGCTTCATAAAATCAGATGAGGTTGGCCGAAGAGGAGAGACAGCAGAGTGTGGGGGATACAAATGCATGGTGCTCGGAGTGTGACAGGTCTGACTTCAACCCCTAACGCTAATACTTACTGTGTGCACCATCTTGACCCAATTACATAACCTGCCTGCGCTTCAGTTTTCCACAGCTCTAAAACCAAAACAAAACCGTCAAACCAAAACGAAAACAAACCAGTTGCCGTTGAGTGGATTCTGACTCATGCTGACCCCATGTGTGTCAGCGTAAAGCTGTGCTCCATATGGTTTTCAGTGGCTGAATTTTTGGAATTAGATTGCTAGACCTTTCTTCTGAGGCACCTCTGGGTGGCTTCTAACTGCCAATCTTTGGGTTAGCAATCGAGCACTTAACCGTTTGCACCCCCCAGGGATTCCCACAGCTGTAAAATTGGGAGAAAATGAAATACTGTATGTAGAGCTCTGAACACAATGTCTGGCACATGGTAAATGCTCAATACAAGTAACTATTATTGTTGACATGTAACTATTATTGTGTGAGTTCTCACAACCAGTAAGGGGCTGACTTACGGTCTGAGCCTAGGCTGGCTTCCTAAGCCCAGGGTGACATTTCTACTAGATTTAAAAAAAAACCAAAAAGCACCAACCCAGTTCCCACTGAGTCGACTCTGACTTAGAGTAACTCCATGAGTGTCAGAGTAGAACTGTGCTCCAGAGGGTTTTTAATGGCTGATCTTTTGGAAGTAGTCCCTTCTTCTGAGGCACCTCTGCGTGGGCTTGAACCACCAGCCTTATGGTTAGTAGCCAAATGCTTAACTGTTTACAACACATCAAGTTCCTATAAATCTCAGAGACTCGTAGAGTTGTTAGCATTTTATTATAATCCATACTCCAATTTCTGTAAACCCTCTTAATTTCCCCATAAAACCTTACTTTCTATTGTCAGGGGTAATCATTTTTTAACTTGGCCAGCCAACCATGCTGATAAAGCAGCACAATGACAGGGGCCGTTCTGTCTGAATTATTTCTCTGGGAACTTGACTTCCAGCTGCAGCACGTTGAGTCCCTTCTGGATGATACTGGTTAAGGTCAGATGGTTAAACTCACCCAGCAGCTGCTGGTGCTGAAGGCTGCGAATGTAGCGGGTATGCAGGGCCTCCCACTGGGGGCTGCAGCTGTAAATCCTCATGATGCTGTAGAAGTAGCGCTGCTGCCCTTGGGTCAGGTCCTGTCAGAGCAGAGCAGTTGGTTTTGATAAGTTGGTGAATTTCTATAGGATTAAAGGTGGCATATATTCAAAACTGACTTCCACAGAAATAAATTCTTATCTTGTTATATATACTGTTGCGGTGTTGATTCTCACTTAGGGTGACCCCATGTTTTACAGAGTAGAACTGCCTCATAGGGTTTTCTTGGCTGTAATTTTTACAGAAGCAGATGGACAGGTCTTTCTCCTGCAAAGCCACTGGGTGGGTTCAAACTGACAATTTTTCGGTTAGCCACCAGGGCTAACCATTTGCACCGCTTAACCCTTTGTGCCAAGCGCTTAACCATTTGTGCCACCAGGGCCCCATATATGTTGTTGTTCGCTGCCATTGAGTCAGTTCTGACATATATAATATATATATGCTATCTGTCAGTTTGTTGTACCGTGGTGGCTTACATGTTGCTATGATGCTGGAACCTATGCCACTGGTATTTCAAATGCCAGCATAGTCACCCATGGTGGACAGGTTTGAGCAGAACTTCCAGACTAAGGCAGACTAGGAAGAAGAAAGCCTTGGTGATCTACTTCTGAAAATTAGCCAATGTAAACCCTATACACCACAACAGAATATTGTCCAATGTAGTGCTGGAAGAAGAGTCCCTTAGGGTGGAAGTCACTCAAAATACACCTTGGCTGTAACAATGGGCTCAAGCACAGCAACAATTGTGCAGTTGGCACAACATGGCAGCATTTTGTTTTGTTGTGCATGGGGTCACCATGAGTTGGAGCCGACTGGAGGGCAACTAACAACAATAATATATAGTTTCCTCTCTTAGTTTGTTTAAATAATCTTCTACTGGCCTGTGTGATGGTGAAAATGGGTTAAGAAGAGATTCAAGGTAAGCAGCTCAAGGCATTGGGCAGAGGGAGAGCCAAGATTTTCAAAGATCTTGTAATGTATTGATCTACCATAATCTGTGTTGAGGAAGATGGGTTGTGAGATCTACACAAGGCCTGAAGTGTGCCAGACTTGTGGATGAAGAGATGGGTCAAAGAGTCCTTTCAGCTGAGAGTTCTCAGCGAGCAGAAGATGATAGGTGAATAGATGGGTAACGTGGTAAGTGTTGCACATCTTTAGTATAAAGGTGTTGTGAAATCAGAGAAGGAAAGCAAACTCGCGTGTAGCAGTCAAGAAAGGTCTTCTAAATGAAATGACCACCACACCTGAATCTTACAGTGTGCGGAGGAACTCCTTAAAGGGGCGAGATTAAAAACCAGTCGCTGTTGAGTCGATTCCAACCCATGGCGACCCCATGTGTGTCAGAGTAGAACTGTGCTCCACTAGATTTTCAGTGGCTGATTTTTTCGAAATAGATCACCAGAACTTTCTTCCATAGTGCCTTTTGGGTGGACTCAAACCTCCAACCTTACAGTAAGCAGCTAAGTGCATTAACTGTTTGCACCATCCAGGGACTAGAATACTGGTTCTAAAAGGGTGGTCACCCAACCTGCAGTGTTGACAACACCTAGGAATGTGCCAGAAATGCAAATTTTGAAGCCCAGCTCCATATCTACAGAATCAGAAACACTGGGGGTTGATACCCAGTACTCTGGGTTTTAACAAGCCCTCCAGGTGATTCTGATGCATGCATACTAAAATTTGAGAGCCACTGGGCTAAAAGAAAAGGCTAATTATAGACAGAAGGAGAAACTGGTACAAATTCTCTTATGGGACACAAAATATCTGGACATGTTGGGAAAGGCTTTTTCTTCAGTTCAACTGGAACATAGAGTCTCTGTCAAAAGGCTGTAGGGTTAGGTAGGGGAAGAACATGGTGATCTTTTATGGTATGTTAGGGTTTCAAGATCACCTTCTATATGAGCAGCCATTGAACATCTTTATTTAAGGCAGTGGTTTTCAAGGGGAATGATTTTGCTCCCACGGAACATTTGGCAATGTCTGGAGACATTTTTGGTTGTCACAACTGGTGGGTGGAGTACTAGTAACATCTAGTGGGTAGAGGCCAGACGTGCTGCTAAACATCCTACAACACACAGGACAGTCCTCCATTCCCTTGGAACAAAGAATAATCTGGCCCAAAACGGTAATAGTATCAAGATAGAGAAATTCTACTTTAAGCTGACAAGATTTGCAATTTAGAAAGGTTGTGTTGACCCTGCTGTGGATAATGGGCTTGAGGGAAAACAGACCAGAAACCATTTAGAAAGCTCCTGCCATAGGAATAGGGAGGAACAAGATGGGCTTAGATTCCAATTACTATTACACTGAATGTATCTCAAGTGTTTCTTGCATGTTATGCTAAGCATTCTGCATGCATTATTTCCTAACTCACACCAATCCTATGATATGGGCAATTATTGTGCTCATTTTTCAAGTGGGGAAACTGAGATAGTGGCATCAACATTCTAGAAAAATCAAAATAAAATAAATTCACCTTCAGTCAAAATAGCCAAAACTATGATAGAATTTTTCAAAACTAGTTGTAACCATGTAAGGACATCTAATTTAAGGTAATTAAAAAAAAAAAAGATAATAATAAAGCTAAATTTAAGATAATTTATATAAAAGTAGGGTGTCAGAATTTTTTTTTTTTTGAGGACTAAAGACATCACATTTTTATATAAAAAATACATCCAGGTTGAAAACAGCAAAACCAAGTACCTCACAATTTGAGACATTACTTCAGCTTTACAGTTTCTGAATTAGATGTTTTAAAAGGTAGTATATTTGAAGAAGGGAATGGATTCCATTCCTGAATAACTAATTAAACCTTTTCAAATGATTGACAACAGTAGAACATGAAGATTGCATGCCAGTTTCAAGAGCAAAGGTACAAGTGCAATGGGAGTTTGCATTATACAAGATAAAACCTTAAAAGTTATGGTTTTAAACTCAAATTTTAGTAAAAAGACCAGACTTAATGGTCTGAGACTGGAGGAACCCCAGAAAGCATGGCCCCCGGGATCTCTGTCAACCCAGCACTAAAACCATTCCCAAGGCCAACTCTTCAGTCAAAGATTAGATTGGACTATGGGACAAAAAATGATACTCGCGAAGAATGTGTTTCTTAGCGCAAGTAGATACATGAGGCTAAATGGGCAGCTCCTGTCCGGAGGCGAGATGAGAAGGCAGAGAGGGTTAAGAGCTGGTTGAATGGACACAGGAAATCCAGGGTGGAAAGGAGGAATGTGCCGGCACAGTATAGGGAGGGCAATTAGGGTCACATAACTATGTATGTATAAATTTTTGAATAAGAGACTAGCTTGAATTGTAAACTTTCACTTAAAGTACAACAAAAAAATGTAAAAAAAAATTTTTTTAAGTTATGGTTTTATTTTACAAGAAAAAAAAATGCTTACATCTTTTCCTTAGTATAACTCTCAACTTCCTAAATGAGAAGCAAGGGGTGATATCCTTAATATTCTTATCCTGTTGCTTATCTCTCCTCGAGGGGATGGAAGAGACCTGAAAATTTTACAAACAGTATTTATGGAAATTGCTTTAACTACATTTGACTGAAAGGAACTGAAAGTCAAAAAACAGAGCCTTCCAACAGTGGAGGCACGGTGTGGTCGCTTAGTTTCCTGTCACTGGTAGTGGTTCCCATCACTGGTACTGTGTCAGCAACAAAGAGACAGCCATCTACTAGAGCTCCTGAAATGGGAAGGGTGTAAGAGTTGGTGTTATTAGCTGCCTTTGAGCCAGCCCCTGACTCATGGTGTTCCCACACACAATGAAACTAAACATTGCCTGGTCCTGAGCCATCCCATGATCTTTTGCAAGTCGAACCGTTGTGACCCATAGGGTTCTCACTGGTTGATTTTTGGACGTAGATCACCAGGCCTTCCTTCTTAGTCCATCTTAGTCTGGAAGCTCTGCTGAAACTTGTGCAGCATCATAGCAAGACACAAGGCTCCACTCTCAGATGGGTGGTGGCTGCATGAGGTTACGATGGCCGGGAATTGAACCTGGGTCTCTTGCATGGAAGGGCGAGAATTCTACCACTAAACCGCCATTGGCCCCTTGGTGTAGATCACTCCAAATTATCATTCATTCACTTACACATGCCTTTAACATACACCAAGGGCCAGGGCTGGACCAAATATTCTGCCTGATGGTGCTTAACAAGCTTTGAAGGAGAGGCAAACATGGTTCTTCCACCTATGAATTTTATGCTGCACCTTCAGTAATGAAGTGTCTGAGGCAGAGGGAGGGACTCGAATGCAAGGAATCTGTGGAACATTCCGAGGCTTTTGCTGTCTTTTCTGGTTTTCTCCCATTCTTTATCCTGTACCTCCAAGGAAAAACAAAGTATAGGATAAAATTTCATTTTGTTCAAACACTTTTGGAGATGTACCTAAGTAAGGAATAGATGGATAGATAGAGAGACAGACAGATAGATAGATGTTATTATGCAAGGGATAGAAATGATTTCTTACCTGCTGTGGAGTAATTAGACCTCACCAGACTGTCTGCTTAGTTCTGCACTTTTCCCCATCTCCCCGCCTTGTTTATGGAAGGAATAATACACAGCCGTTTGTCTTTCTGCTTCACTAGCGTTTTTAGGGTTTTAAGATCACTTTTTATATGAGGAGCCGCGGAAAATGGTATGGTATTTTATTTGGAATAGGTGGGTTGTAGAGCCGTACCATGTCTATAACGGTTATTTCTTGATAATTTTAAATAATATTTACTGCCTTTTCTGATTATGAAAGTAATATACGTCATCTTGGAAAATTCGGAAAAATTCAAAAATTGAAGAAAATAAAAGTACATATACTCTATTCATAGTTATCATTGGCATTTGATTAATTTTCTTTTTTTTCCCCCGTGCACATTGTGTGATTTTACAAAAGTAAGATTTTGTATTTTTCCCAGGTCATTAAATATTTCTTAAAACATTATTTTTAGTGGCAGGATCATATACTTTTCACATAATTCTCTACTGCTTGCACATTTAGATTTGCAATTTTATAGCACTATCCTTTAAAGTACAGCCAGAATGCTCCTTAGAAGCAAGGATAGTGAGACTACGTCTCACATACTTTGAACATGTTATCAGGAGGGATCAGTCTCTGGAGAAAGACATCGTGCTTGGTAAAGTAGAAGGTCAGCAAAAAACTGGAAGACCCTCAATGAGATGGATTGACACAGTGGCCGCAACAATGGGCTCAAGCATAACAATGATTGTTAAGATGGTGCAGGACCAGGTAGTGTTTTGTTCTGTTGTACATAAGGTCGCTATGAGTTAGAACCGACTTGACGGCACCTAACAACAACAACATACCTTAAAATAAACTATTAAACCTAGCCATGTTGCTTACCACTTCCTTGACAAAAATATAAAATGGAGGAATCATATTTGCAATGTTTAGGTCTTCTTTCCATGTGCTTTGGGGTTTAAAATCCGAGAGGTGTATATAATGATAATAAAAATTCACATTCAAGGAAGAATAGACATATTGGAATAGGAATGCCAAGGAACAGAGTGGAAACCCCAAGCATTTTTCCCTCTGCTCACTCCTTTGCCTTGTCAGCAGCGTAAACTACTGAGTGACAGGAAGTAAGAACATAACAAAGGCAGATACAATACCAAACAAAAAACCAAACCCATTGCTGTAGAGTCAATTCTAACCCACAGTGACTCAATAGGACAGAGCAGAACTGCCCCATAGGGTTTCTAAGGCTGTAAACCTTTATAGAAGCAGACTGCCACGTCTTTTTCCCGTAGAGTGGCTGGTGGGTTCAAACTGTGGACCTTTTGGTTATCAGCCGAGTGCTTAACCACTGTGCCACCCAGGTTCCTTAATATAATGCCAGATCCTCTAAACCTAGCAGACTCTCCTCTATACCGCTATACACCCAAACTGAAGAAAAGAAATTGTAATAAAAGTGGTATGGCTTTTAGAACTAGACAGACTTGAGTTTCTTACCTTCTGTTATCCTCAGTCTTCTCATCTGTACAATGGCCATTACAATGCCTACATCTTATAGGGTTGTTTGATTAAATTAGATCATGGATATAGAATGCTCTCACTTTATGCCAGTCTTCCCTCTCTACCCTACCTTAGTGTGTGTTCATCATGTACACACCCACACACACACACACATGCTTAAGAAGTAATTTAATATGTGAGAAACACCAGTTAGTTTTGAGTTTACAGATCTAATGCTTAGATCTTCCAGAAGAAAGATTTATTAGAAAAATATCAGTCATCCCCTCTCTACCTTGTTTCCATGATAAAAACTTATAAATTAAAACAATAAATATTTTATTTAATTCTGCTTTCCCTCAATGTGGACTCCCAATACTATACCAACCAAGATATATTCTCTTCATATTCTCTGTGATGGAAACATGTATTCTACATCATCGACTCAAATTATCTCAATATCCCCCCTCCCCTTTTCCAGAGCTGTAGAGCAGAGAATAAATATTCTTCAAAGCTGGAAAGACGTCTTCTCTCCTCAAATAGCATAAGGAAATGACAGATGAGCTGTCTTGTGGCAACAACTCGTGTGCTTTTCTTGGGCTACTGTTGAAGAAATACATGTTACCTAGTCAAACGGTCTATACCAGAAAAAGTTTGATTAAAATGCTTGGCAAATTCAGGGAGGAAACACATCTACAAAGTAACATATCTGAAACAAAAAGACAGATTCGCTTATAAAGAACTTACCCTATATTGTAGTTTTCCTTTTTTTAAAAGCTGGCATTCACATTCAGTTTAGTTTCCTCTCAACGTCTCTTTCTTCATGCGGTGGTGATGGTGATTCAGTCTGTTGATACATCAATATCCAAGCAACATCATGTGGTAAAACAAAGAGCCTTGGAAAATTGGCTGTTTGGCTTGCCCTGCTTCTGGACAACATTCAACTGCACTATATAATTTCCTCTTCTTCCATATTTTGAGTCTAATCAAGTGTCAACGTCTAAATCCATCATATCTGCGTTCTATATAGACCTGGGGAGGGAAGTGCCTGGAGACAAAGATACTGAATATTAACGGTCAAGAAATCCAGCAGGGCAACAGGCCATTACATGAGTATTTCCCAGATGGGAGTCAATAGTCCCCTAACTCCATTGCTCAGAAGGATGAAGGAACAGTTTCTAAATATAAAGGTGAGAGCATGAATTTGACTATGGTAGCCTATGGAATTGTCCCATAGTCCAAGATAATGTTCCCTTTTCATCATTTGAGGGAGAGATATTCTCCGTATTTGATCTTGGTTAGAGGCCACACACAATGATAAAAGATTCTTGGCCACCCTGACCTCTTCAGCATAAGCCTCAAGTTGTAACCTGACTCATGAGCACAGCGTTTCTCCTTTATCTGTGCTAGAATGATTGCTGCAGGCGCCCTTTCTCTCCTGAAAATACCTCCTTTTAAATGCCAGCTTATCTGCAAAGACTAAGAGTTCCTAGAGAAAATGGAAGAAGAAACACTAAAGGAAAACCATGAAGGGTGGGGAGATAAGAATGGTGAATGAAACCATGTAGCTTAAAGAAGTAAGAAAGCGGATCAATCAACACAAAAGGTTTGAGGTTTTTTCAATAATTTGAATGCAGACCTTCTGGGGAATAAACACGGCACAATCAAGAGTCGGTAAATGCCAGTGAATATGACAAAACCTGTCACTGGATCTGAGAGGTTGGTGGTTCTCTACGGAGAGATAAAAAACAGCTGTATATAGAGCTGACGTTGTCAACTGAGTCTTCCTTAAATGTTTTTCCAGGATGTGATAAAATGCCTTCTACAGCATACTATACCCGCTGGCTGCTGCACACACAAGTTGACCCATAACAGGGTGCATTAACCCTGCCCAGTCAAGAAACCAGAAACAAATCTAGGTATTTCACAGACAGGGAATTTAATACACGGAAGCAGTTACAAAAGAACTGGAAAGGGCTAGAAGAGCAAAACCAGGAAGTTCAGGTCTTGCAAGGATTGGCAATTACAATACACTATTATCACACCTAAGGAGCCCTGGCGGCACAACAGTTAAGCGCTTGGTTGCTAACCGAAAGTTTGGTGGTTCAAACCTACCCAGTGGCTCCAAGGGAGAAAGACCTGGTGATCTGCTCCTATAAAGATTACAGGCTAGAAAACCCTGTGGGGAGTCCTACTCTGTCACACGGGGTCCCTGTGAGTTTAAATGGACTCAGTGGCACCTAACAACAACTATCACCCCTAGAGCTGGAGGACTAAAGGGAAAATGATTTACCCCAAGTCCATGAACGAACACTGTGGCACCGAGGCTGCTTCTGGTGGAACGCTGCTGGTTGAGCAGGACCTCAGCAAGCTGCACTCACTAGCCACCCTCATTTCTATGTTCTCCCCAAAATTGCGAATGCTCCTTACTGTTGCTATCACCACTCTTGCTACCCCTGCTGTTGCTGGCAGGCTGTTGCTGCCACCGTGGCCACTGGTACAGCAGAAGCCAGGAATAAACGTCTTCTCCTTTCCCCCAGCCTTCCATGTCCTGATTGGAACATGCAAACCTCATAGGATACCAGCTGGCAAAGGATCCTGGGAAATGTGTTTGGCAGTCTTCCCACTACTGTGGTAAAGAGAAGGGTATAGAAGGGTAAGACTGTAGCTGAGACCATGGGCACTTTCTAGCACATGGGTATACCATCAACAAAAGTCTAAGAGGCACCTCGGGGACCTATGAAGCCAGATAGGAAACTGAAGGGCTTAGAAATATAGCCAATGTTTTCCTAATACCACTAAAGTTTGGAATTCTATAAGGAAAAAATAAAATAAGAGATAATTGACTAGCTATATAGATGGTGTCAAAGAATGAGATGTGAATTTTTGGGCAATACCTTAAGATCTAAGAATGATCATACAATGTATATCATCAGTTTTGGATGATGACTAGCTAAACAAAAAGGAATTAACACTAAATACAAAGGAAAAACGGGAGGGAAAGAAACCACCCATAATCTAATTACTAGACAGAATATAATATAGGGTATTGGTAAAAAAAAAAAAAAAAAAAAAGCAGCAGCAGCCCTGGTGCTCAATGGTTAAGCACTCAGCTGCTGACTGAAAGGTTGGCGATTGGAACCCACCAGCGGCTCTGTGGGAGAAAAGACCTGGCAATCTACTCTGGTAAAGATTACAGCCTATGGGATAGTTGTATTCTGTCCTATAGGGTTGCTATGAGTTGGAATTGACTTGACAGCACACAACAACACTGGTTAAAAAAAAAAAAAGATGTATATTATTTCACAGTTAAACAATGTTCTAGACCGCATAGGTCTAAATGCCAA